GATTCAATGGATAAAATGGATAAAAAATTAACAAAAACTGGATAAAATTGATTACAAACTGGATAAAATGGATAAAATGGATAAAATATTAATAAAAAAACTTGATTGAATGGATAAAATGGATAAAAAATTGATAAAAACTGTATAAAATTGATTACAAACTGGATAAAATGGATAAAATGGATAAAATATTAATAAAAAAACTTGATTCAATGGATAAAATGGATAAAAAATTAACAAAAACTGGATAAAATTGATTACAAACTGGATAAAATTGATAAAATGGATAAAATATTAATAAAAAACTTGATTGAATGGATAAAATGGATAAAAAAATTGATAAAAACTGGATAAAATTGATTACAAACTGGATAAAATGGATAAAATGGATAAAATATTAATAAAAAACTTGATTGAATGGATAAAATAATGGATAAAATGGATAAAAAACTGATAAAAACTGGATAAAATTGATTACAAACTGGATAAAATTGATAAAATGGATAAAATATTAATAAAAAACTTGATTGAATGGATAAAATCATGGATAAAATGGATAAAAAAATTGATAAAAACTGGATAAAATTGATAAAATGCATAAAATATTAATAAAAAACTTGATTCAATGGATAAAATGGATAAAAAACTGATAAAAACTGGATAAAATTGATTACAAACTGGATAAAATTGATAAAATGGATAAAATATTAATAAAAAACTTGATTGAATGGATAAAATAATGGACGAGATGGATTAAAAACGTATAAAATGGATTAAAAAATGGATAAAATGGATTAAAAAATGGATAAAAACTGGCTAAAATGGATAAATGGCCAAAAGACGGGATAAAATTCCAGGCTGGATCCTGAGAAGAGGCAAATTTGCAACATTCCAAGGAAAATTCCAAGGGAATGGATGGATCTCCGAGGATGGAATTCCAAGGAAAAGCTCTGAGCCCCTTCCCAGCCGGAATGTGTCCGGGAATGGCCCCTCCCCCACTCTGGAATTCGGGAAGAAATTCCATCCCGGGAAAAGGACGGAATTGTGGAATTTGGGAAATTCCAGCCAGAACTCTCTGAGCTCCCCGAATCCCAAGGATCCAAATTCCGGCTTTTCCTCTTGAGCCCGATCCCTGGGATCTGTGGGATCTGTGGGATCTGTGGGATCTGTGGGATCTGTGGGATCTCTGGGATCTCTGGGGTCCCTGGGATCTCTGGGATCTCTGGGATCCCTGGGATCTCTGGGGTCTCTGGGATCCCTGGGATCTCTGGGGTCCCTGGGATCCCTGGGATCTTTGGGATCTCTGGGATCACTGGGATCTCTGGGATCTCTGGGATCCCTGGGATCTCTGGGATCTCTGGGATCCCTGGGATCTCTGGGGTCCCTGGGATCTCTGGGATCTCTGGGATCCCTGGGGTCTCTGGGATCCCCGGGTTCTCTGGGATCCCTCCTGGGATCCCTGGAATCTCTGGGATCCCTGGGATCTCTGGGATCCCTGGGATCTCTGGAATCTCTGGGATCCCTGGGATCTCTGGGATCCCTGGGGTCTCTGGGATCTCTGGGATCCCTGGGATCCCTGGGGTCTCTGGGATCCCTGGGGTCTCTGGGATCTCTGGGATCCCTGGAATCTCTGGGATCTCTGGGGTCTCTCGGGATCTCTGGGGTCTCTGGGATCCCTGGGATCCCTGGGATCCCTGGAATCTCTGGGATCTCTGGGATCCCTGGGATCTCTGGGATCCCTGGGATCTCTGGGATCCCTGGGGTCTCTGGGATCTCTGGGATCCCTGGGGTCTCTGGGATCTCTGGGGTCCCTGGGATCCCTGGGATCTCTGGGATCCCTGGGATCTCTGGGGTCCCTGGGATCTCTGGGATCCCTGGAATCTCTGGGGTCCCTGGGATCTCTGGGGTCTCTGGGATCTCTGGAATCTCTGGGATCCCTGGAATCTCTGGGATCTCTGGGGTCTCTCAGGATCTCTGGGATCCCTGGGATCTCTGGGATCCCTGGGATCTCTGGGATCTCTGGGGTCTCTCGGGATCTCTGGGATCCCTGGGATCTCTGGGGTCTCTGGGGTCCCTGGGATCTCTGGGATGTCTGGGATCCCTGGGATCTCTGGGATCTCTGGGATCCCTGGGATCTCTAGAATCTCTGGGGTCCCTGGGATCTCTGGGGTCCCTGGGATCTCTGGGATCCCTGGGATCCCGCTTTTCCCGGCGGGAATTCCGGGAAATCCCTGGAATTCTTCCGGATCCCTGGGATCCCGCTTTTCCCGGCGGGAATTCCGGGAAATCCCTGGAATTCTTCCGGAGCACTCACATTTTGCCGATGAAGACGCTCAGCACCATGGTCTCGTCGTTGAGCCCCAGCACCTCGGAGAGCCTCCGGTACAGCTGCCAAAAAAACCATGGAAAAAAGGATTCCAAACCGCCAGGAAAAGCGGGAATGATCCCGAGAAATCCGCTTCGCCCTTGCTGGGAGGAGGGGTTTTCCCAGGGATTCTTCCCAATCCGGAGTTTTTCCTGATTTTTCCTGTTTTTATTTTGTTCCAGCAGGGTCACTCTAAGCTAAAGGAGGAGGATTTGGGTTTTCCCAGCAAAAGTCCCGGGAAAATTCCCAAAAAAACCGGGATTTAACCGCGCTCCACCTCCAAACACAGCCAGGGTCGGAGGGGATTTCTCTGGAATTCTCAGCAGTTCCCAAATCCCTGGGAAGGGATTTGATCCCAATCCAATTTTTCCTCCAGGAAGGAACAGAACTCAATCCCGGAGCAACATTCCCAGTTTTGTTTTTCATTGGAAAAAGGGATTTTTACCTCCTGAGCCACGGTTCCAAATCCCTTGGGATGAAGGAAATTGGGATTTATTCCCTTTTTAAAGCCAGGGAAGATCAGAGGGGTGTTTGGGATGATCCCAACAATAAAAAAAACCTGGGAAAATCCAAATCCAGGCCTCAATTCCCAACATTCCCAACTCAGCTCAACGCTGGCAAAGCCAAAACTTGGGAATAAAGAGTGAAATCCTGGAAAACGGGATTGATTTCCAGCTGAAAGGAGGAGAAACGAAGGGATGAAGGGATTTGGGCGGGTTTTCCATGGAAAAGGGCGGAATTCCCGGGATTTGCGTTACCTTGGAGGATTTCTGCACCTGATCCCCGATGTAAATCTTGCGGAATTGCTCGAAGAAGCTGAGCATGGCCAATTCCAGCTTCTCATTCCCGGCCTGAGCCAGCCGGGAATCCGTCAGGTTCATCAGCTGCAGCACCCTGGGAAACGGGAACACGGGAAAAGAAATGGGAAATTTGGGAAAGAAATGGGAAAATTGGGAAAGAAATGGGAAATTTGGGAAAGAAATGGGAAATTTGGGAAAAGAAATGGGAAATTTGGGAAAGAAATGGGAAATTTGGGAAAGAAATGGGAAATTTGGGAAAGAAATGGGAAATTTTGGAAATGGAAACATTCCCATCTCCATTCCCATGACTCCCAGAGTTCCCAACCCCCAGAATTCCCAATAACTCTGAGCATTCCCATAACTCCCAACATTCCCAGTAACTCCCAGCATTCCCAGTAACTCCCAACATTCCCATAACTCCCAGCATTCCCATAACTCCCAGCATTCCCAGTAACTCTCAGCATTCCAATCTCAAACATTCCCAATAACTCCCAGCATTCCCAATAACTCCCAGCATTCCCATAAATCTGAGCATTCCCGTAACTTCCAACATTCCCATAACTCCCAGAATTCCCAGTAACTCCCAGAATTCCCAGTAACTCCCAGCATTCCCATAACTCCCAGCATTCCCAATAACTCCCAGCATTCCCAATAACTCCCAGCACTCCCAGTAACTCCCAGCATTCCCATAACTCCCAGCATTCCCATCTCCACCATTCCCAACCCAATCCCAGAGGAACATTTCCCTCTCCCCTCTCCCAGATCCCCAATTCCTGCCTTTCCCGGCTCTCCGGGCGTGGTTTTCCCAGGATTCCCGGTGGGATTTTTGGGAATGTGGCTGACCTGCAGACCAGCTCCCCGTCCATGGCGTCCTGCTCGTCCGTGCTGGCGAAGGAGACGCGGCCGCCG